TGATGGAGTAGTACCTGAAAGTGTAAAGTGAAATAAACCTTTTCCTCCCCAAGTTACTTTTGGTCGTCGTCTTTATCACCGCAATAGAAACCTAACTAAGACATCATGCAAAGCCTCCTAAGCATGAAATGACTGGCCCAGGGGCTTGTGGGAATGAGTGAAGTGGGTGTGGCTAGGCTATTCTATAGAGCTTGTCTTGTGACCTCCTTCCCCCCAGAGGGAGGCCACTGTAGCACGATTGAAAGCACAGGCTCAAGGGCCTTTGGCTCTCCGGACCTCTGCTTCTTCCCCCATCAGTGGGGAATCCTAATGGCCCAAGGTCCTAGAGATGATACGCAGAGACTGCCTGGTGTGGTATCTGCCACACGAGGCGTCCCCAATGGTGTTGGCTGTCATTTAGTCCTGACAGCACAACACCAGGAGTTGTCAACTGGAAGGGAGAGCACTGAGACCCACCCTGGGCCTTGCTTGGGTTACACAGGTGGCCATTGATGGGGCTGGTGCTTGAACCCAGGTCACGGGCTCACAAGACGCCTACTGTGCTCCACCCAGAAAGGAAAGAGGAGGCAATCTGTGAGTGGACAAATGACATCCCACTCAGGAGTGAGAGTTCCAAGCCAGAGGAAGTGTCTGAAAGCACAGGCCTTCTGAGTGATAGAGTAGACTGGACATCTGCCCATAGCCCTGACACTGGGCGTGCGTGTGTGTGTGTGTGTGTGTGTGTGTGTGTGTGTGTGTGTGTGAATATCTGTGTTAGGGATGAGTCTCCATGTTGCGTGTACGTGAGAGGGCTGTGGTGCATGTATCTGTGTTCTTTGTGCATATACCTACCCTCCCCCTACCAGGCAGCCAGTGAGCTTGCCTTCAGAAGTCCATTGCTTCTCAAGCAGCTTCCCCAGGGCATCCAGCAGCCCGCGGTCCTGTTTGATTCTGTTCATCCATAAATCATGGCTTGCTGAGGAGATGAGAGGCAGTGGAAGCAAAGCCTTACCAACCTGCACCAGGTCTCTACAGTTCACACCTGAGGCCCAGCCTGGCTTCCAGCTGCTGCCCCTACCCCATAGCCAGCCCTTCCCCCTCTGTTCACGGAGCACTCACTGATGCCTGCCACAGTTAAGCTTCTAGAGGGGCACTTCCTGGGGCAGGGGGTGGATAAGCATGCACAGAACCCAATAAAATGGGACACTTGGCCTCTGCTTGTCCTAGGGAGAAATGAGGGTGAACCAGTTCAATGTTTCATTCAGTTCTCAGAGAGCCCAGCTCCCTGCCCCAGATATCTCTGGTCCAGGGCACAGTGCGGTAATGCTATGATAATGGCCAGCGTTTATTGCTTACTCTGTGTCAGGCACTGTGCTAAGCACATTATATGTGCTAATTCCTGTTAGTCTCCCAGTGGTCCAAGGAAAACTGTGCTATTATTAGTCCTCGCTTACAGGTAGAGAAACCAAGGCATGCAGGGATTAAATCACATGGCTTAGAAGTGTCTGAGCCAGAATCTGAGCCCAGAGGTCCGGTTCCAGAGCCGCAGCATGTAAATACTACACCCCTAAAAGATGGTTACAGGCACAGGGCCATGGGAATGCTGAAGCACAAGACCTCAATTCTCACTGTCCGTATTATGGGAGGCTTCATGGAGGCGCTCTCATCAGGGTCCTGACAACTCAAGGGTTTCTGGGGCAGATTTGGCATGGGGGAAAGAATAAACAGGGTGTGTGTATGTGTGTGTGTCTGTGTGTGCCTGTGTGCATGTGTGTGAAAGAGAAAGGCTCCGAGACTGTTCTTAGCGCCTCTCTCATCTCTTCCCTTCTATCTTGTTTGGGTGACAAATGAGATACCATATGCGAGCGTTGAACATTCAAACAATATTTACTGAGCACGTCTTTGTGTGTCACCAAGGATACCGGAGTCAGTGAAGCATCAGCAGGCCCGGAAGTGTGGAACACAGTGGGTGCTTAATAAATAGCAGCCTCCCAGAGGCCTGGGAGTCTTTCTCATTCATTCTTCCAATAAGTATTTATTGAGCACCTACTATATACCAGGTTCCGGCCTCCATGATGGGATCGTGTTACCTAAGAAGATGATCTCTGTCCCCATAAAGCTGACCTGCTAGAGCATTCTGTGTATTGGCAGTTGGGCCCCCTTCAGAAAGGGGCCACCTTTTTGCTTCTTCTTTCTTTGAGGTTTGCTTGGGGGGTGGTATGGGCAGGACGGGACATGCCCAACACAGGCCTGGGCAGAGGGGGCAGCAGTACGCCTGAGCTCACCCCTCCCTTCCTGGACACCCACTACAATTGGCCCAGCAGGCTGGTTCTGCTTAGCTCCTGGTTTGCCCTGCCTCCCAGATCTCCCAATGTCATCTGTCTGCCCTTGTCTGTGTCTCACCCCTGGGGACCCAGGATGTCTCCTCTGCCCAAGGAGAGGTCGTGGAACTCCGCCCTGGGCCAAGGCTGACTAGGGCTGCAGTGTTTCCTTTCCTCAAATGTTAATGTGCTGACGATAAGGGGACTTGAAACCATGCATGTCATCTGAGGAAGGGATAGAAGAGCTGGGGCGGCTTTGCCTGGAGAAGACTTGAAGGGGACATGAGAACTGTCGGCAAGGATTCAGAGGCCTGTCATGTGGCAGAGCTGCCCGAGGGCAGGCTGAGGACCGCAGCTGCGAGTCACAGGGAGACAGATTGGACTCGGCACAAGCTACAGCGGCCTCCTCAATGGTGTGTCTGCAGGAGAACCAGTCTCCTGCAGGAACAGCTCCCTGTCACCACCAGGGCTGTCCAGAGGGGATCATGCATCATGGGGCCTGACTCTGTGACTTGAAGGTCCCTTGAAGCCCGGGAACACGATCACTCCATCCTTCAGGAATGGTTCCTGCTGGCTGGCAGGCGAGAACACGCTTGTGCCCCTTGATGGTAACAGTACTTGAGGGCATGCTAGCCAAGGACATCTTGTCACTTTTATTCCCAACATCAGTGCAATTTGTAATGGCAAGCATTTGTTTCACCCTGCCTTCAAGGGCTGTGCGAAGGATGCTGAGGGGGCTGATGGATCTTGTGGGGGAGGAGTCAGCTCCTTGAAAGATAATAGCATCCACACTGCAGGAGACCCTAGAGCCATCATTCCAGAGGGATTCGACTTTGCTCAGCATCTCCTTCTTCAAATGTAATTCTCTTCAAAAGTCCGAGATGTAAAGCCAAGGGAAATGATGCTGAATTGACTGTAGAGGGGCTTCAGCCTTCTCTACTCGGTATCTACCTCTGCAGCCCCCAAGAGAGTCCAGAGAACCCTAGGTGTTCCAAAGGGTGCATTTTAAGCACCAATAACCAATATCTAAGGCAAAGAGTATGGACCATGAGACAGACTGCCTGGGCTTGGACCTCAGTTCTCATCCATTTGCTGAGCGACTGAACATGATCTCACAGCCCCTTAAGCCTCAGTTACCCTGTCTGCAAGTTGACACTAGCATAGTCCTCGTCTCGTTGGTTGTCACGAGGAGGAAGTCGTCCCTCTAGGTGAGATACCCGGAACTCTGGACTCATCCTGTGAATCAGGAAGGGTTTCCTTCCTGATGTTCTTCCACATGTTTGACACTGGTGTCCCAGACAGCAAGGGCTTGCCCATGGCCATAGGGCAGGACCAGATCAGAGCTCATGGTCGCTGCACATGCGGCTGACAGGAATTGACTCGGGGGTTTCCTGTAAATAGGAACAAGCAATTGGCTGGCAGGTGGTGGGCTGGCGAAGGCTGTGTGAGGGTGATGGTTCCTGGGAGGTCTAGGAAGTTGGTTTGGCCCGAACAGCAGCATTTTAGAAAGAATAGAGAGTAAATAAGCTCCTCGGGGTGCCACGGTGGTGGGAGGGAGTCTGAGGGCCCTGAGAGCTGAGAATGACCACCTCCGTGAGGCATCTATGCAGGAGAGACCCGGAGGAGAGGAGAGGCAGAAGCTAAAACCACAGGAACCAGGACCAGACAGATATCGTCAACTCTTAATTACCACAATCACTGGCACCGAGCGGCCCATGCAGGCTCCTCTGTAAATAAACTGCATCTCCTTGATTTAGGGCACATCCCAGTGCACACATCTTGATTTAGGACACATCCCAGTGCACACACATTCAGAGCTCATGAATGCTCCTTGTTGCCTTTTCCCCTCTCACTCTCCCACATGGTCATTTTTGGTTCAGGTTTTGCATCCTGTACATTTGTTTTGTGCTAATGTTTACAGCCCCCTGTGAGGAAGACAGGGGAGGCTGTTAAATCTGCATTTCCAGAGGAGAAAACTGAGTGCTCACACGACTGCTCCAGCACCACAGAGTTAGGAAACAGAATCTATGCGGAAACCTGGGGCTTTCCTCCCACAGTGGGTCTCCACCCTTAAAATATGAGACCGCAGAATGCTTAAGATGGAAGCTTCAGGTGGCTCTTGTGAGCATCTGGAACCTTACAAATAATGCTGAGGAGGCTGGAGCCAACAGGGATGAGAAGGCTGGAAGCAAGCCAAGGGGCTTAGGACGGAGCTGACAGGAGAGGGCTTCCAGCACAAGCAAAGTTGAGTTAATGTGGGCTGAAGATCCCAGCAATTCCCTTTGATTACACATGTCTCTGTTGAGTCTTGGCCAAGCCCTTAAGAGAGTCTGAAGGTACTCAGAAGGCAGATGGCCTTTGAGCCCGTTTGCTTGTTCAGAATTGTTTGTGGCATGTGGAAGCAGAATTAGGCCACACAGAAGAATGTCTCCTCTAGAGCCATTGATGGACCTACGGGGCATCAGCAAGTCCTCTCCCTTTGAAAGGCGTAATGTTTAGAGAACGGCAGAGTGTCTATGCAGTGTGTATTGAGGAAGAAGCTGAGGCACTGAGCAGACAGGACTTCCCAGGTTCAGGCAGAAAAAGCAGAGCTGGCAGTGGAAAGTGCCAGAAAGGAGGGGGAGGGGTGCTTGTTCTAGCGACTCTGGGATGGAGAGTGGCTCTGGCCCATAATGCTCTGACTGTGCATGTCCTCCTCAGGGGCGCCCACCCGCGATGTCCTGCTGGTCTCTGCCATCATCACCGTCAGCCTTAGCGTCACTATCGTCCTCTGCGGCCTGTGCCACTGGTGTCAGCGCAAACTGGTGAGGCTCTTATGGGGAGACCCTTTGGGGCTGGGCCTGACCCTGCACCCTGCCATCCTGCAGTCGCTGGCTTGTGAATTCTATGGTGTGCCTAAGCAGAGAACCTGCCTGCCCCCAGCCAGGAACAAGTGCACAGAACTTCACACCACAAACTTGTACATACTAGCCCACTTCCTTTGCTTGGGTCTTGGTCCTATACATCTTTTTACACCCGGAGGCACGCACATGGGGACAAACTCGTGGAGCACTACACGAGCGGGCGGGTGCGCTCCCATGCTTCACCTCACGCATAAGGAACTGCAGACACACACGCGCAGACTGAGAATTGAGGCCCCGCTCGTCGCACCCCCCTTTCCCGCCCCACGGCCCCTCTAGTGGGCGGGGCCAATCCGCAGAGCCTTCTGACCAATGAGAAGGCGCCGCCCGCCCCGCCCCACCCCTCAGCCGCCTGCATATCCATCCTGATTCTCCTGGTTTGTACAAGCACAAACGGCTTCTTTTCATTTTTAACGAGGGCTGGGGAATTAACGAGCAGGATTAGGCTATCAATAAGTAACGAGACTGTCAGGAGGGACATTCATCACCCGAGGGCACCGGGAGGGAGAGCTGAGAGCCACCCGTTCCGCCAGCACACTGCAGCGAGGCAAGCGCTGCTGTTCCCGCAGGACCCCCTCTCCGGGCCCTTCAAGCTTGAGTCCCACCTCCCACCCTGCCCAGTAGCGCAGTAGGACTTGAGAAGGCTACAGGGAGGGATCTCAATAGAGGTCCCAAATGCAGGCAGGGATCAGGCACCCCTCCACCCCTCATGCTCATACCCCACCCCTGTTCCTGATAGGATGATTGGGGCAGGCTGAAAGCTGAGTTACAGGCCCTGAGTAGGGAGAGGCTGCATACCCCACTCCCATGTAGGAAGGGAGTTTAGAAAGAGTTTGGAGTCTGGTGAGGAACCTATGGGGAGAACCCAACATGGCTCCTTCAAGAAGGCAAATTTGTGTTTGGGTGAGCTGCTACACCCTGGGGTATTGAACTGGGGAAGAACCACAAGTTCAGTTCCCTACATGAGTGTGACCTGTCCCCTGCTATGGGCAGGAGTGTAAGCTAGCTGCCCTCCGTTGTTCCTTGGTCCACTGTATCTGCCTCAAAATTTTAAGGTTGGGCTTCGTAAGCTGAGTACCAGTGTCTTCTGAGACCATGGAAGTGGCTGTTCTGCATATCCTGCAGCCTGGTGTTGCCTTATTGTAGGACCAGTTAGGCTGTCCCTGCCTGTCTGTGTTTGAAGGCAGAGGAAGAAGGTTGTATGAGCTGGTGACTGTGTCTGTGTGTGTGCGTGCACTTGTGTGCATGTGTGTGTGCATGCACGTGTCTGTGTGTGCACATACGTGTGTGTGTGTGCACATACTGCTGAGCAGCAGGATGTGTACCATTTTCTCAGAGCCTTGGTAACTAAGGTCTGCCCGTGTCTTCCCTGCATATGTACCGTGCCACTCTGAGTGGGTTTGCGTCTGTGTGTGAAGACGCCCTTTCCAAGGCCAGAGTACAAGTGGCCTCATCCCACCAGCCCTCATCTCCAAAGGGAACAGAGTATGGGTCAGGTTTGTTTGTAGTTGGGAACTTGGGCATTTGAAGGTTCTGAACCAGCAATCTCTATGGCCCAACCACACCGCAGCCTCCAGCCAAGAACCTTCCCAGGGTTCCAGAGCACAGTCTGTCTCCCTGGACTAACTCTCATAGACCATCATTTCCTCAGCATCCCCCCACCACCACCACCACCACCCCCTCCTGGCACCATGGATCCTGGGTGACAGGACCCTTTTTACCCAGGCTATTCCCTTGGTCTTTAGAAGGAGTTTTAATATGCTATCCTCACAGACAGCTGCTGGGCTCTCCTTGCCTTTCTATGCCTTCAGCCCTAGTGACATGATACCTTGACAGCCCAGATCCCATTTCCAAACATTAATAACTTCCATAATCTTCAGCTGGCTTTTTCCGGATCATGCTGGCAAGTCCCCTCCCTGACAAGTAGGCTAGTGGCACGGGGCTCCTCTCAAGCCACCCAATATCTCTGGGACGTCACCTAGGGTTTCTGCTAGTTTGGGTTGTTGTGTGAAATCCTCACTGCCCCAGCCCAGTCCTGCCCTGGTCCTGCCCCACATGGCACCCTGGATCCTGCCGCACACCCAGTCACAGCAGGAAACGTTCTCTGAGCTGCAGATGGAAGACAATCAGAATCTCTCCCAAATGCCCTGGGCCATCAAGATCACCAACCCCAGTCCTGCCTGTCCTTGAGGAAGGGGCAGCTGGCCATCCTTGGAAGAGGGTACTAGCCAAGGCAAGCTCTCCTGCAAATACCTGGAAAAAAAGAGGAGAAGGTAGATGGCGTTCCAAGGTTTCCCTCAGAAGGGCCCTGTACTGCCCGGATGTTGGGGACTAGCGGGACTCTGGCTCTTACTTAAGGTCCTTCCAAAAATAGCCTTTGGTGACCACAGTATGGCCCCACCGCTGATGGACTCAGTTAATGTTGGGAATTATTTGGGGTTTGAACCTCTAACTTACGAATGATGAGAAGGACCAAGAATGTGAGGAAGGGTGGCTCTGTGGGCCTGAAGGGCCTGGCACCTCTGTATTTGAGTTTGAAGATTTCAGCTCAGGGAAACAACTTGAGCCCGAGCTCCAGCGTGGATGGGAAAATAGGACGGCACTTCCAGTTGGTGCTGGAAACTACTTGTAGGTGCCAGTGTCACTCTAGGTGCTAGAGGTTTGACAGCCTTGCCTTTGTGTGGCTTTGTGCCAGGATATAGGAACTGACATCAATAAACAGAGAAAGTGATGCTGTCTGGTACCAGGAGCCCCTTCTCCATTGGACCCACCTGATGACAGCAAATCATTGCAGGAGGGAGGAGAGAGAGGTCAGAGAGGGTGGAAGGCTTGACCAGGGTGACATGGGGGCACCCGTGACCTCGCCAGGGCCACATCAAGGTGTCCTGAGCTGTAGAGGTGCTGTAGCTAGAATGAATGGAGGGCTCTGCTCACCACATATTCATGGGAGCTTTGCTGCAGTTTCCCCAGGCTCCTGTGGCCAGGAAGGGGCTGCAGCTGGTGGGGGCATGTGGGAACACGGCTGTGGCAGCTTTTATTCTGTGTTTGGAGGGGATGGAATAATTGACTGTTATGGCTATGGTGTTGGTGCACATGAGGGACTATCAAAGCATGCACGTGCATGCTTGCATACATGTGTGTCTGTGTGTCTGCGTTTGTCTGTCACTGTTCAGCTAGGTCAGGACCAGTTAGTAGTACCCAGTGGTAAAGGGGTTGGCAGGGCAGACCTGGCTTCTGTTCAGCCTGCATTCTCGAGTTGCCTGCACCAACCTGGTGCCTGGCCCAGGTTTGAGGTCCATGGGGTGTTCGTGAGGATGCTTGGTGGCAGCCAGGAATGTTAATGGGGCTGGGCTCTGCATGAGCTAAATTTAGAAACCCAAACCGAGAAGGTGAATGGTGCTCACCTTCCCAGCAGCAGGCCTAGCCGTTGCTATTCTTTCTTACGCTGGTGGAACCAGGGTGCCCATCCCTGCCCTGCTTCTTTTCTGCTCACATTGGGCTAAGCAACTTTGGGGGCTGTCCAGGGGCCAGGCATCCTTGGAGCCCCCAGGGTTAGGATGTACTCTCTCTTCCCAAAATGAAGTCTTACAAAGGTCTTGTCCCTGCCTCCTAGCCCTAGGGCATGAGGACCCCAGCAAGACCCCAGGCAGTGACTGACAACCCTGGCAGACTCAGGCATGTGGCCTGCACCCTCCCCCACCACTCACGTCATTGGCCATTGCCAACCTTTCCCTGCAGGATGCCACCCCCACCATCTGGGGGTGGTGACGTGGACACTGTGACGTGGCCAGGCGCCTGAGAGCCGTCTGTCCACGGCAGAGGGAACTGTGTTTCTGGGAGCTGGGCCAGAGGCCCAGGAGACAGGCAGACAGGATGGCCTGATACCTGAGGGTCAGGCATGAAGGATAGCTTCTGGGCAGAGGCAGGTCCTAGAGCCCACAGGGTACCCAGGCATGGGGCAGCAATCGCTCACACTGGCTCTGGAGTTTGTTGATAATCTAAATTCTGGTCTCTCTCAATTCCTCAGAAGCCCCTGTTCTGGGAAGAGAGAACTGTCCTGATCTTCCCCCAAGAAGTAACCCTGATACTGTCTTCGCAGGGCAAACGCTACAAGAACTCCTTGGAGACGGTGGGCACGCCAGACTCGGGGCGTGGGCGCAGTGAGAAGAAAGCCATCAAGTAGGTGCCAGGCTGTCAGTTTTTTGGGGGGTACACAGATAGCCCCAATGGTAGAAGCCCCTTCTCCCAGTCCTCAGACCTGGCCACAGACATATTTAATATCTCCCTCACTCCCTGAGGCCATGCCCACTTCTTAGTCTCAGAACCCTGGATAACTCCAGGGCCCCCTTTTGGTGCTTATGCCCAGACCCTGAGATTTTGGAGGTTGTAGCCTCCTTAAGACTGACTCTCACCCATAGCCCTGTATGTGCCATGCTGATTCTTCCACCCAGTTCTTAATGTCACACACACTGTCCCCACCCTCCAGCCAGGCCCCTGGACCCTTCAGTCTCCTCCCCAAGACCCTATTATGGGCTTGGAACTCCCTCCTCATAGACTGGGTTTCCTTTCTTACTCTCCACACATGCTCCCAGGACAATCTAGAAAGGGTGACGGACAAACCATGAGGATCCCAGCTGGCCTCGGTGCTGAGAGCTGGGGGAATCAGACTCTGCCCTCCTAATGCATCTTGTCCCCCTTCAGGTCCTACTGATTGTACCCTGCCTAGGGTTCCCCACTGAGATCTAAGAGACTAGTTCATAGATCAAGACCACCTTGGCCAACTCTCTGCTGAGAGTCCCTGGGAGGCACTTCAGAACTGCCTGCCTACCTAGGGCTCAGGCTCTGAGAATGGAGCTTTTTCTACCTTGCTCTCCATGGAGACCAGGCCTTCATAAGGGAGCTCTGTTCAGCCCATCTGGATGGGATCAAGCCTGCTGGCCAAGGGGCTTTGCCTGGAAGCTGAGCCCAAGCCCTACCCATACCTCTCCCCTGTCAATTCAAGGCCCTCTACTTTCACTGCCCCTTCCCCTGCACCCCTGCACACCCTGGCCCTCCTGCATCTCTCATTCTTCTCCTTGCTCCCCTGTTCATTCATGAGGGCTCCCTCCCTGTCCCTCCTCTTTTTTTATATCTTGCTCTGACCCTGTTTGGGGCTTTCATAGAAGTTCTGGGGGATTGTCTGAGGTGGGGGATGAATAGAAGGGTGGGCCAACTAGGGCTTGGGTGGGTGGAAAGCTCAGAAGGAAACCAAGGGGAGTCTTTGAAGCTGAGTTTGGTTGCATGCTCTCGTCTTCAAAGACAGGAGCTGGTGGGACTCAGGGGCTGTTGCAGAACACAGGCTCTGAGCTTTCTGAAAGTGGGGGTCGAGGAGGATCACGTGAGGGGGAGCAGGAGGCCACCTCCAGTCTGGGCTATTTGAAGCCCCAAGTGAAGACAGGTGATCATAACCTTCCTAGACACGGATGCTCATGACGGGGCAGACATTCTAGAAAGGATCCTCCTCTAGCCAACAAGGGGGAAAGAGGGCGTCAGAGCAGGAAGTAGGCTACAGGCAGAGTCCAGAGGGCTCTCTAGGGCTTAGTGAGGGCAGAGTGCCCTCTCTGACACCCTGAAGACCCACCGTCCACAGCCTGAGCCTGCTTCCGTCTGGTGTGCTGTCAGTCCCTCTGCCCCTGACATAGAAGCCACTACTCATGTCTGTGTTCCTGTTTTCCCCATCCTGGGCAGTTCGTTGCACAACTCCCCACTGGCTTAGGCCCATCTCCAAAGGAATCCTGTTGTCAGGGGTTTGGGGACACTGCACTCTTCAGTAGTGCTCTTCCCAAACTGCTCCTTGGAGCACCCGTGCCTCAGCAACAATGAACACATCTGGGATTTCAGAGTTTGGGAAACACTGCACGTTCCATCTCCCTTTTGGCGGCACTGGTGGCCACTGACACACAAGACTGATAAGTTCTGTAGGAAAGGAACCAGTTTCCCCAGCCTTCTTTCATGAGGGATCTTCTTTTTCAGTACCATGGTAGAAATCCAAGTGGTCCCAGAACTCAGGGTCGGAGGACAGCCTGGCAATGATGTTGGGTGGATCTTTTCCCTCTAGGACCTAGATTGGATGGAGACCTGGAGGGGTGTGAGGAGGGAGATGGCCAACCTGCTGCATTCCTTTAACACCTGATGTGGGGAGGCTCCATCCAAGCAAGGATGCTAGGGAGCAGAGCCAAATGAGTATCTCTGACCGGCATGAGATTGTTCATAGAAAGGAAGTTTTCTACTGGAGACTATTCCACCTCCCTCCCCTCCCCACTGCTCCCTCATCTCGTGAGCAGGCTCAAGGCCTGGGCTTGAACTTTGTGCATGTACTCCCCTATGAGACATTTCCAAAGTGTATTTAGACAGTCAATAACTATCATCAGGGACAGCCAAGGCCACCGTTTCCTCCGGGCTCATGGTGGCAGGCCAGCTTCTTATCTTTTTCTTAACTGTTTCTGTGTCTCAGATGGAGCACACCAAGGTCAAGATCTAACTCTCAGGGATGCAAGAGGCAGCTCCCCTGAGTACAGTTGATTCTTAGGGGAGAATGCACCCATGATGCTGGGCCCCATCCATGCTTCATCTCGCCCAAGCGTGGACACGGGCCAGACTCTTAATGTAGTAACAGTCCTGTCACCCATGCATGGCTCCCTTCTAGAACAGTCCAGTGGCCTGGGAGCTACCGCTCTCTCAGTGCCTGTCCCTGTCACTTTGGGAGCCCAGGAAACTAACAAGCTGTCCGTACTTTCTGAAACCTCCACGTCATGACCTGCAGGAACCCAGAAATTCCTACAGCCTTTATGTTCTCAGCATGTCAGCTGAGGACAAGTCACCAGGAGGAGCAGTGGTGGACTAGGGTGAGGGGCCCTTCTAAACCCAGCAGCTCCACCTTAGAAACAGGAGCCCAGGGAACCATCCCAGCTGGCCAGGCCAAGTATATACTGTGGGCCCAAGGCTGGGTTGGTCCCATTGGCCCCACTGACAGAAGAGCAAACTCCTTCTGCATAGGCCCCAGAGCAAAGGATCTTAATGATCCTTGATGATACCCTCTCTGAGGTCAGAGACCAGGCTACCTCCCTTATTGGGAAGGCTCACCCAACCATTCCAGTGACGAATTCACCCCATTCGTCTCAAGTGGAGCCGTCTGCTCACCCAGTCTCATGGAAACCTAAGATTCCAGCCTCACCAGAGAGAGGGCAGGGGACATGTTAGGCCACTGGAGAGAAGATTGAAGAGGGAGAAAAATCAGTCCTCTCCTTCGATGGGAAACTGAGGCCAGGGAGAGAAAAGGCCAGCTACCAGCAACAGGATTTGCCCTACTTTCCAATACCTTCTAACATTAAACTAGTACCTTCCCCTTCTCCCAGAGTCCCCCTTGCCCCATCCGGGCCTTGTCTCCCACCCCACCCCCAACCCAACCCCCTCCTCTCTCATGGTCTTTCTCTCTCCCACCAGCTTCCTAGGCACGAGGCTCTCCCGTCCGCCTGCCTGCAGCTTGTCTCCTTCCTGTGTGGCTTCCCCTGGCCAGCCTTCCAGTGCACGCGTGTTTGTATGAATGTGTGCGCCTCCATGGATGTGTGAGCACAAGGATGCCTGGCCCAGGCTGCGATGCCCATCCGCTGCCCTCCTGCTTTTCTTCCTCTGCAGGAGCAGACCCTCGAGGCCCTACCCTCTGTGTGCCCCCAGGGGCCCCCCGTCCCTTCTGGTCCCTTCTGCCCCTGCAGGACTTGCTGTTCTGGTCTCTTCTTGTATCTCCCTGTTTTCTCCCCTCTCTCTCTGCCCCTCCAGCGACCTAGACAGAGACTTTTGGAATAACAATGAAAGCACAGTGCAGCAGAAATGGAGTTCCTATCCTCCCAAGGAGTTTATTCTAAACATTTCACCCTACGCCCCTTATGGCGACCCTCGACTGTCCCTCAAGTGAGTGACTTTACCTGGTTTGATCATATGTACTGAGTATCCGCGCACGCCCCACCCTTCCCTTCTCCTGCCCCCCTCACTTCCTCTCCGGCTCCTCTCCCTTCACTTACCCCTCCATTCACCCCATGGGCAGGCTGGCCATGGAGACGAGCAACCCCTCCTGCCCCCCTCGCCTGCCTGTCCCTCTGCTGTCACCTCCCCCAGGGCCACCCATGCAGGAGAGCCCCCTCCGCAGCCACACCTGGTCCCCAGCCACGCCCCCTGGCTCCCCACCCTCTGTGCAGTCAGGATGGGGTTGCCCGTTTTGGTCCCTCCCTCTTGGTTGTGGCTCGCTTTTTCCTCCCCGCTGTGTGCTGCGGCCGTGGCTGCTGGTGGTCGGTGGTCGGTGGTCGGTGGTTCGTGGTGGTGGCGGTGATGGTGGTGGTGGTGGTGATGAACTCTGACTAACACGGCTTTCTCTCTCTCCCTGCCTGGGGGCCTCCTGGCCTGGACAGCCCGCTCTTCCTCCGTCGTTAACCCTTCGTTGTCCTGTGGGATAGAGTTGGAGGTGGCTGCCCTCCCCCAACCCCCACCGCTCCTGCCCTAGGCGGTGGGGAGGGGCCCCCCTCCATTGTCGTGGTGCGTTGTTCTCTGACCCCAGCCCGCCCGGTCCCCCTCTCTCCTCTGCAGGCTCCACTGTTAACCCATTTGCAGTGCTGATGTCTCTCTTTCTCTCTGTCTGTCTCTTGTCCGTCTGTTTCTCTCCTCCTCTCTCACTGTCTCTTTCTTCCTTTTATCTGTCGATGTTTTTCCTCTTCTTCCCCCTCCCACCCCCATGTGTGGCCTGCCCTCTCTCCCCCACCGCCACCCCCGGTGCTCCTCTGGCCTGGCTGCCTCCTACACGCCTCCAGTGGCACCCTCCTGTCAGGCGCCAAAGTGGCCACTGCGGCGGCGGGGCTGGCGGTGGAGCGGGAAGGCCGGCTGGGGGAGAAGCCAGCGCCGGTGCCACCACCCGGAGAGGACGCCTTGAGAAGCGGCGGGGCTGCCCCCAGCGAGCCGGGCAGCAGTGGCAAGGCGGGGAGAGGCCGCTGGCGGATGGTGCAGAGCCACCTGGCCGCAGGGAAGCTCAACTTGTCCAAGTGAGTGATGGCACCCCATGGCTGCCAGAGCCACGAGCTCAGGCCCGCCCCCACCAGGGTGGACAGCGGGACCCCTGGCATGCCCGCTGCTGCCCCCAGAGGTGCCGTCCTCGGCCCCTGGTTCATTCCATCCCTTCACGAGACGCTTTCATCGTCCTCGCCATCAGGCACAACCAACTCAGCCATATGCTCTCGCATTCAGGCCTCTGGCAGCCTCCCATGAATGTCTTCCTTTGCCAGTGACCAGGTCATTCCATTCTCTGTCCCCAGAGCAGCTTCGCTCCAGTCCTTGGGCCATCCCATCCTCTTTGACTGGCCACCCCATCTCAGCCATCAGGTCATCCCTCTGTGGTCAACAGGCCCTTGGCTGTCCCACTGTGGGACCATCCCATCCCGGGGAGCAGGCCCATCTCTGCCTGTGTTTATAACGCTCATCAGCCAGTGGGCCTTTCCTCTTTTGGCCAGCTGATGGCTCTAGACCCAGTCTTGAGCCGTTCCATTTTGAACGATCTCATCTGCTTGTCCCAGCCTTGCTTGTACCATGACGCCATGTGCCACAGGGTTTCATCTCTGAGCAGCCACAAGGCTGCCGCAGATCCATCCCATCGCAGCCATCCCCACTGGCTGATCCTGCCTTGGTCAGTGAGCTGTCCCTCTATTAGGAGTTCTTGAGGGTTAAGATTGTTGAGCCCCAGCAAGCAGCTCCTTTCAAATGTCAAAGGGGGATCAGAAGAGCCTGTCCCTTTTTTAATGGCTTCCTGGGCTTGCCAAGCAGTTGTGGGCAGTTGGCACAAGCCTGATCTGTCTTCCCACCAAGGCTGCCTGATTCTCCTCTTGGCTTTCAGAACTTCCAGGGTCCCACAGTAGAACCCTTCCAATCCCCAGGTCCTCTGAACTATGAGCACCACACAGATTCGAATGTGGGCTCCACTTTGAGCTGTTGACCCTGTCTCATTCCCTGCCAGGGAACGAGCCTCCTGTGAGAAGGCGAACAGCCTTGATGCCTTCTTAGTGTTGATCTATCCAGCTCAATTCAAGGCCTTCCTGGCTCTCTTCAGAAGTCCCCCCCCCCCCCCCCCCCCCGCCGCACACATCGAAACACGGAGGGTACCAGGCTGAGACCTCATTTGCTCATTGCCTTGAGTGGACACAAGTCCATTTCCTCCTCGTATATGGTCTCAGGAATGTCCCTAGAGATGGATGCCTCACACCCCACTAGAGAGCTACGCCCCTCCCCCCGCCCCCAGGCTGCCCACGCCAGGCTCAGGGTTGACTGGGCTTCCTTGGCATTGGCTCACTGGCTTCAGGCCTGGAGGATCCAGCTTTAGTTTCCTGTGACTGAAAGGTTGTAAATTGGACTAATTTTGGATGTGATAGGAAACTGAAATGAGGTCGGCAAGGAGACAGAGAAGATGGTGTGCACCCCTCCCCCAGCTGGCCTGTCCCCATTGAGCTGTGGGCCTACCAAGGCTGGACAGACCTAGACCTGCCCTGGGGAGAGCCCTGATTCCAAGCCCAAGTCAGGCCAGGCTGCTGCCTGCCTAGAACCCCAGCTACAGCCATGTTTTGCTTTCTTTTCTCATTCTGTCCTCTCTCTCTCTCTCTCTCTCTCTCTCTCTTCCTCTCTCTCTCTCCCTTCCCCTCTCTCTCTTTATTTGCCCAGCCCACAGGGGCCACCTAACTATTGTCTTTTGGTTCCCAGAGTAAGTTCAGGGGGTGAGCATGGCTGAGGTTTGGCTGCTGTGGTGAACGTGGCTCCCAAGGGCCCTGGGCCCTCCTTTGACTACTACAATAGATGTATTTGGCTGTCCCATGGCCCTAGAGCAGGAGTGGACCAGCTCTCTCAGTAAAGGGCCGAGTGACATCTAGGAATTATTTAGGCTTTGCAAGCCAAGGCCACGTCTTTCACACTGCTTAGCCTTGTCATCGGAGCAGAAAGGCAGCCACAAGTGGGATGTGAGCAAATGCCAGCATCTGAGTACCGATAAAGCTTTGTTTATAAAAGCAGGCAGTGGACCAGATTCACCTTATAGATCAGAGTTCACCTCCCCCAGTTCCAGACAGATATATTGGTAAAGGAAGAGGAGGCTGGAACCTCAGATCTAGGGAGAAGGGACTTACTCAGGACAGTGCCTAGTTTGACTCCCTGGTACTTGGGTGACAGCTTGCCTCCAGTCCTATCATGAAAATTGCTAAATCTCTAGCCAAAGCAAAAACAGGCAGAAACACAAAACCTTAAGGCAAAACACAAGCTCTTGCCCCCAAGCCCTGGCATGGTAGCAGTTAGTGTTACAGCCCTGACCTCAGCTCTGAAGAAGACCATTGACGGGCTCTTTTGTAAACTTGTCTACAGCAGAGAAACTAAGGCCCAAAGAGGTATAAAAGCTCATTCAAAGTTGCCCAGTTAGTAAGTGGCCGAGGTGAGCTTTGAACCCAGGTCTCTCGGGCTCTACACCGCCTCACAGCCAGGCTCTGTTTTCCCTCTGTTCCTGCCCTGCTTCACCTAGCCCATTTAAAGATGCTGGTGGGCCATTGCACAGACATCCTTAGATGTAAAAAGCAAGATCACTCACTGTCGGTCAGAATTAGGGTGAGGCTGGACCAGTAGCTCTGTTCCGGCCACAGGGCAGGCTTCTATATGTGAGTCTGCCTTCTTTTCCTCTAACAAAGCATGAGGAACGGCTGCCCTGCCTCCTCAGCCATTACTAGGCCAGCTCTGTGCTGGCCTGGATTTCTTTCTGTCTCCAAAGGACAGTAGTACCTAGAACACACAGGCAGCTGTTCCTAGTGTTCCCCTAGTGAGATGGCAGAGGGGTGGCGGCAGCTCCCTGTCCCTCCCATTCCAACATGACAGACAGTCATAGGGCCCCGGGGACCTGCCTTCACCACGCAGCTGCCACAGCTCCTGTGGCCCACTCAGACCGGCAGAGAGGTTGGCCCAGACAGGTACTGGGGAACCAGCGAGCTATGTCCAAAGGTGGGCGGATGGGGCCAGCCTGGGGACCTCAGGGTGGGTAAGGTGGTGGCAGCGACTGCAGCAGTGACAACTCCGATGGAGGCCTGGCGAGGTCCTGCCGAGCGTGCCCTGCACTGGGGCCTCCCAGCCCTGGCCCTCGGCTTCTTTCTCTTCCACTGTGATCCCTTCACCTGCTTCTCCTTTCTCTCCTCTCCTCCACCCGCCCCAAGTTTCGAGGACTCCACCCTGTCCACGGCCACTACCCTTGAGTCTATCCCCAGCTCCACGGGAGAGCCGAAATGCCAGCGACCCCGCACACTGATGCGGCAGCAGAGCCTGCAGCAGCCGCTGAGCCAGAACCAGCGGGGCCGGCAGCCCAGCCAGCCTACTACCAGCCAGAGCCTGGGCCAGTTGCAGGCCCATGCGGCCTCGGCACCGGGCTCCAACCCCCGGGCCTATGGCCGGGGTCAGGCTCGGCAGGGCACCTCGGCCGGCTCCAAGTACCGGGCAGCTGGGGGCCGCAGCCGTTCCAACCCAGGCAGCTGGGACCACGTGGTGGGGCAGATTCGAAACCGAGGCTTGGACATGAAATCTTTCCTGTAAGTCCTCCCCTTGAGCGGGCCAGCTCCCCACCTCCCCAACCCGGCCTTTTCCCCTCCAAATCTCCTTGAGAGCAGCTGGAGCAGGACACTCTTGTTCCTCCGTGTGGGAACACACATATTCCCACAGTGTGGCTGGCAGGTTTAGGGGTCCCCCTCCCCAGACTTTTGTGGCTGATATCTGGAGGGCCACCATGAAAGGATTTGTATCAGAGCCCCCAGAACTCTGAGGACCCTAGAACTCTCCAACTGCTCCTGAGGCTTGAGAAGAGAAGCCCCCCCCTCTAAAGTTTAGTGAGAACACATAATAAAGAGTTCTGGAGGTCCCTGAGACCTGCCCCTCCCACCCCACCAACAGTCCCCAGCTGCTCTTGTCACCACGCCAGCCATGCATCACTCCGCCCTTTCCTCCTCCCCTCCCCAAGCCATCCCTGTCACCGAATCTCCAGAGTCCTGCAGTCCTCCCTGCAGTGCCCCTCCTGTCTGTAACTAGACTCTGTTGACCTTTCTGCCCCATGCATCCTCCCCACCCCACCCCACCCCCGCCCATCACCTCCCTGTCCATCCATCCCTGATCCCTGATCACAGCCCTATCATAATGACCCCTCCCCCGAGGACAAATCTGAGCCACGCCCCAAAGATGACAAGTATGGTATTTCTCTCAAGGACCCAGCTTGGAAAAGAAATACCATGCTAGCCAGAGCTGACCTTAGCTGCTTCCCTGACACTTGCCCCACCACCCACCCTTGCGGGGTAGTCACTGTCAAAACTGAGAAGTGTGGCTTTGTACCAGCCATGAGGAGATCATTCCCATCATCCGTGTCTTCCCTAGAAGGCCTCTTAGGTATAGAGCCGCACCACTAAGTCTGGGAGGAAGAAGAGAAGGCCAAGGCCAAGCTCACCAGAAAAGATACAGGGCTTCCAGAAGGCAAGCAAGTTTCCCAAAACACGTTCTATCCCCATCTGAGAGCCCAGCCAGAGCTTCCAGCTCAGACAAGAGCCACCCTTGGAAAGGTCCTCCAAAAGAACTAGGTGCCCACACCAGCTTGCAGGAGGCCTGTACCGCGGCCCACCAGCCATTCTTCCCAAGGCTGCCCCTGAGAAATCAGGGCACCCTGTCCAGCTGCCCTCAGGGAAGGCAATCGAGTGCTGCACCAGAGAAGATGTCCAGCAAGGCCTCCTGTCTTGGCAATGCATTGTTCTGGGATGGGTACTGTGGCCACGGAGTAGGAGATCAAGAGATCTGGTTCTGCTATGGCTTGAACAGAACTGAGGGTCAGCTGGTTCCCACCAGACCTTAGCAGGGAGTATGCCCACCCTCTTCCTGTTCTTCTTGCAATCACTAAGTTTGCCCAGCAGCAGGAGAAACCCAGATGCCAACTCTCCCAGCCCACCACCTCCCTAACCAACCAGAATTCTGATGGGCATGACTTAAATGCCAGCATCACGTACCCACAATTCTGCCCCCACAGCAGCTCTCGTACTCTTACCTGCCGGCCACCTCTAAGCTCGGCACATCTTCTACTTACCCCTCACAGTAAGGGGCTGCATACTCTGTAAAAGCCGGACACTTTCAACTTTGCAGGACACGTTCAGTCTCTACCACATAAGGCTTTCTTTTTTCCCCCTTCATGTTTTTAGATTGCAGAAACTGTTCCTAGCTTGTGGACTATACAGAACTGACAGACAGGCTGAGGTGTACCAACCCCCGCCTTGCAGTTTAGCTGCTCTATTGCTGAGATTCTTCACCCATAGAGGCCCCATTGTCCCCTTGTGAGGCCCATCCAGGCCCTGCAGGAACTTGCCCTCCCTCGCATGCAGGGTGCATCTTTCCCACTTGATTTGTTCAGCCCCTTCCGACCAGACCAGTGTGTCTTCCCCAAGTCCAGCTCCGTTCCTCGTCCTTGCCCTCGTGGCCTACGAAGCTGCAGAGAATGACAATCTGGGTATTTATGCAGAGGAACAGCTCCGTTTTAAAGAAGACCAAAAGCACTATCTGAAAAATGCATTAACTAGGGAAAAAAACCATGTGTTTTCATTGGGTTCGCCTTCCCCCAGCTCAACTAGCTCCTGAACAGCCAAATGGAATTTTACCAACTCAGACAATAGCGATAGTCAGGAACAAAAGAAGCCAGGACCTAGCCTGAGGGAAGGGGAGAGTTGAGCCCCCAAAGTTAGAAGCCAGCACAAGTGTCAGCTTGGTGTGGCTGTGCCCAAGATAAAGACTCTAAAGAAGAGCCCCTCCGGGCTTAGCTTCCTCCCCTCACTCAGACCCCGGGGGCGGCTCTCATTTTCCACAACTCTTGTGCCCTCGGACCCCAGACGGTATGTCTGGCCTGAGTTCCCATTTCAACAGTCTCCCTGGGGATTAATCACAGAAGCTCTTGCTTTCCATCAGTGCCTGAAGTGATAGATTCCTGACCTAAGATCCACCCACTTCTGGAACATTCTGTCAGTCTCCCTGTCTTTCCCTTGGCCATTCTTGAGGCATGCTTTCCTGCCTGCCCCGTCAGAGAATGCTTCAACTCTTCGTTCCGATGGGCTCTACGGAGGTTCTCTCAAGCTCTACAGAGCCTCTGCCAACTCAGACTTCAATGGCTTTCAGGGAGAACAGCCACCAGAATTTGCATTTCCTTCCAGGAAGTGCCTGTGACACCAGCAAAGCTCCACATAGTGGTTCCCTGGGGAGGTCTCCACACTCGAGTTGTGTGACCTCAGACACCAAGATGCTACCCACACATCCTCTCCGAGTTCCTCTCATCCTGTTGATACCTGCCCAGCACTCTGCTTTGGCTACCTTCCCTCAGAGTGGTGTCTCCACTGCAGTCACAGGCTCCCTGCGGCCCTGCCAAAGCGTGCCCAGACATCGCCACATTTCTGGACTTTCCACCTTTTTTCCCTGACGCCCTCTGAACTGCTTCTCCTCGGAAAGGCCTCCATTGAACAGGTCCTGGAGGCCTCCGGTCATTCTCTGACTCTCTGGGGACGTGGATAAGAGAGAAGTCCCGCTATGCCTAGGATCCCAGAAGGGACAGAATTGGAATTCGCCTAATGATGGGCTGTATATCTGGAAGCCTGGAAGAAGCTGCTATGCTGGCTTCAAGGACATCTTGGTGACCACGACCCCGAGATCTATGAAGGGCATCCCTGAACACAGTGGTCAATGCCCATTGTGTGTCAGATTTTTTTCTCTAAGTGCTTCCCCTGTGGCCCGAACCTCCAGGGAGTATGCCCTGTACAAGATACTGAGAGAGCCTCTCCCCTTCTCCCAGGGAACAGACAATCAGGGTGACTTCAGCTGGGGATACCATGTCCCAGGGCCTCTGCTCCACTCTCCAGCCTGTGTGTTCCTTGGGGACTATCCCAGATACCTAAGTCCTCTCCTCAGGCCTGTGCCTAGCCCCTTCCCCCATGTTACCAGTTGCCTGAGAGCTCTTGGCCCAAGGCCAGCTGGACCCTCCCCTCTCCTCCCCTCCGCCCCGTTCTCAACCATTTACAGTTCTGAAGATTGGTTTCTTTTCTCCAGGGCCAGTTTCTTACGCTTTTTCTCCTCTCTCTCTTTGTTTCTGTCTCTCTCCTCCCCTCACCCTTGCCCCTGCCAATGGCGCCGCCTCCTTTCACCCCGGCTGCTGGGCTGCCCATCCTGGGCAGGGAAGGCCGGATGGTGGTGCTATCCCTGGTATTAGGGCTTTCGGAACAGGATGACTTTGCCAATATCCCTGACCTGCAAAACCCAGGAACCCAGCAGAACCAGAACGCTCAGGGGGACAAGAGGTACGAGCACGGGCGAGGTCTGCGGCGGCGGCGGCAGCGGCAGAGAAGGAGGCACGGAGAGGCCACCTGCCTCACCTGGCCCCGACTGCTGGACGAGGTGGTGGTGTCTTCAGCAGATGGGAGGAGAAGTCCTCCTGCTGGTGTTCTGTCCCCTGACCACTTCAGTGGTGTCCCTTGGGTCGATGAAGGGACCATCCTGGGACCATTCTGGATCAAGCCTGCTCCCCAAGCATGCTTATCCTGGACTGGAGCAAGCCCAGCCTCCTGGGCCCCATCTCCCTGCTTGCCTCCCTATGCCGCCCCTCCATCTTTCATCTCTACCCCCACTCCCCAATCCAGAAATCCCTGTTTCTCTGGTGGTTGGTGAGTGAGGGGGGATGCTGAGGAATGGCATAAGCCTGTTCTTCCGCATCCTCTCCACCTCAACCTCCCTCTGGCCTGTAGGGCCTGTTGTGCTACTCAGCCATGAAAGAGGAGCCCCTGGTGGGGAGGGTCTGGGGTGCGGAACAATGGGAGAGGCCTGGTGACCAGAAGGAACCAGAAGGGTGACCCCTGAGCACAGCCTCCAGGAATGGAAAGTGGGACCAGCTATTTACAGCAAGTTCTGGTTCTGCCAGGCTCCCTGTGAAGACTGACAATAGGCAGGTGGCTGAGGTACAGGCTATACCTCCTAGCCTTCACCTCCTGCAGTTCAGGAAAGCATCTCCTGCTGTCCTCTGTGTCGAGGAGTGGCTGGGCACTGCCTTCATAGGTAAAGGGATGGTTGCAGGTGGCAGGGTTTCTTAGCACTCCTAAAGGTGGAGTCCTTACCTACTTGTTCCCTTGATGTGGCCTTAGGCTGGATTCACATCTGCTTGTGCCCAGCTCTGCTTCCCATGAAACCAAGGGTCTGTGGTAGGGCACGTGGGCCAGCATTGGTTTAGCCAGAGCCTCACTCTGCAAACTCAGACAAGTCAGAGACCCTGCCTAGGCTTCAGGCTCTGCCTCTGTCAAATGAAGGATTGAGCAGGGTGACCTCTGAGGGACACATGAAGCTTCTAATGAGAAAATGGACCCAAGGACTGGGGCACTTGTCAGACCCTGTGAGCTGGACAGAGATCAGATTTAGACTGGCAAGCCCGATGCTCATTAGAGGCTGTTGGGGACAGGAAGGGACTGCCCCAGGCTGCTGCCAGGGGCGTGTAACTTAGGGAAGGGGATACAGGCTGTATGTGACGGCTGACTGGCTGTCTCACAGCGGCTTCTGGAGACCAGCCCTCTCTTCCCTTCCCACCCAGAATCCATGTTGCATGTCTAGTGGGTCAGATGTCCCTAGAGAGTAGGAGGGGAGAGTGAGACCTGTCCTTTCACTTGGTGGCACAGCTGGCGTCACTCCCCGAGCCCCTTGCATGTGAAGCACAGATTGGGGGAGCGGCAGAGCCGGCCACCCCCTACCTACCTGGGTCTGACAGAAGCCACAGGGTCTCAAAGATGGGCACCAAGCAGGCCAGAGGGCCCCAAGGAGAGGGGTGGGGCCAGGAACAAGAGGATGGGGGGCGGGGGACTGGAGCCCTCTGAAAGCCTGCTAAGAACCCAAGCCCTTTGTCAGGGAGGGCTCACGGTGGGGGGGCAGGGGGTGTGAAGTGTGAGGGAGCAGATGCAGGCTGGAAACGAGATTTCACATCACCCATGTGTTAATTAACCGGTTCCATCTTCACCCAACAGCCTATTTATACCTCCTTGCCACTCAGGTCTCCATATTTTAGTTACCCATCCCTTCTGATCATGACATCAGCTTGTCCTCTGCCTGCCTAGAAAAGGGGTGTGGAGGTGGAGGCCTGCCTTGGGCCCTCCCCACCACCTGGCCTCACTTTCCGAGTGGACACATGCCATCCCCACCTGTTCACGCCCTCCCATATTCGAAACTCATTTCTCACAGCTCTTGGGGTGTCTCCAAGTGGTGGGCAGCTTCGAGGGGCTGCAGACGCAAGTGATTCCTCCCTATCTGTGCCCCTCCCCCATAGCTCAGCATCGGTGCCCCGGTGCGTCTGTCCGGGCCAGACTGTAGCACCTTAGGGACCCACCCATTTGACCTTGGGGCCTTACAGCCACAGGCTGGCCCATCTGTCCCATCCTCTAAAGCATGCCCTCTCCACCCCAGCTGACCCCTTGACCAGGCGTCATGGCTGCTGTTGGAGGGAGTCTCAGCCGCCTTGGTCTGTTAAGCAACAGGGTGCTGTGAGACAGAGCTCTGTGGGGAGAAGCCACTCCAGGGCGCAGGTAAAGAAAGTGGGTATCCAACAGGCTGCAGGGGTTGCGAGAACAGTCTGCCTCCAACCCACCCAACAATTCTTGGTGCTCCAGAAGGCTCCCTTCCAGGATGCCCCAAACCCTGGGCCTCAGCATATCCCTCAAGGTACTCTTGAGCGAAGGAGTGGGGTGGGGCTGGAGACCCTTGCTGTGTCTGTCCCACTCATGCTCCCACGCCACCCACTGCGTGCTCAGCCATCCTTCCAGCATTTCATTCACCTTTGCTCCTTGGGATCCAAATGGTTTCCACCGTGGCCCCACCCCCACCCCGAGTGGGGGGCAGAGTGGACCAGGCCACCACCATTGCTCGCCTCCTTCGAAGCCACCATGTTTCTTCCGCCTCTGTGTGTCCCCCGCCTCCTCTCTGCCTCTCCTGTCGGCCGCCACGCTCCTCCTCTTAGTTCCCTTGTCCACCCAGCAGCCTCTTCACACGTCTGACTAACCTTTCTTAGCCTCTCCTCTCCTTCTCTGTCTTTCTCTCTATCTCCTTCCTCCATCTGCTCCTCACAGGGGTGTCCCCAGGCCAGTGACCAGCCCCTCGGCCTCTCCCTATGCCTCTCCCTGTGCCTATCTCTCTGTCCTGTGACCTCCAACAGCTTCAGGGGTGCTGACCATCTTTTCCCAGGCTGCTTTGCAGCTATGCTGACGCTGTGGTGTGGCCAAAATAACTCCGACTTTCTCATACCTTCAGCAGTCAATCTCACGCTCTCTCCTCTCCCGCTCTATTTTTAACCTGACTTTACCTCTCCAGCTATTTCCGTCTCCTCTTCCTCCCCGTGCCTGTCTGTGTGAGCACATGTCCATGTGTGTGTGTGTGTGGTTATGGGGGTGGGACCCTGTGTGTGCCTGCCACTCCGTGCACTGGTGTGTCCACACCTCTAGGGTGTCCAGGGAGAGGGCAGGCAGGTGGGCGGGCATGCGGTGCTGTTACAGAGCAAGGCTAGGGTATCACGGCAGGCGGATAGTGCACCCGATGACCCGCTGTCCCTGCCTTTCCTGCTTCTCTTTCGTTCCAATTCACACGCACACTTTCGCATGGCTGGGTCTCCCCTTTGGGGGATCTAAGTCTGCCTCCAGCGGTGTGTGCCACTACCGAGGCTCTGGCTGTCCTGCCCGTCTTCTCCCTGTTGCTCTAGGTGTCTGTTGGGCTTGTGTGAATTTTTATGTGTATGTACGTGTGTCTGTGTGTGCACGCCCTGCTGTTGGATCCTGGTGTCTTCCCCCAGGGCCTGGCATATTCTGAGCATGTCTGTCTCTGCCTGCTGTGGCCGCCCGTGTACTCCAAGCTGGTCTGTACTAGGGGATGTGGCTTGTATCCAGTCTGTGTGGCTCTGTGTTCTCAAAACTGTTTAATTTTAGCCTGCCCCAAGCCCTATGCCATTACTTCCTCACAGCCTGTCCCCACCTCTTCCTTCTCATGAGGCATTCCAGCCTGGTCCCTGGGCAGGGTCTTAATTGTCTTTTCCTAAGTCCCAGCTGAATGGAGCCTGGGCTCATCATCTGGCTGTTAAACCAGAGATCCCAGCCCCCTGGACCAGCATGGCACTGGGTGTAGACATGGTTGCCGGCTAGGTGGTGGCCTGTCTTTCTCTGACTCAGGGTAAGAGTCTTATCAAATGTGCTGTGTGAGTGGGGAGCATGGTGGAGACAGGGGCACGTGAGGTTATCACGTGCCTACCCCAAAAACGGCTCTTCAAGCTGAATGGGTGTAAACGGCTACTCAAGCTGAATGGGCGCCGTGCGAAGGTCCTGATCAGTGTTGGCTAAGCAAGCCCTTTACCATCCAGCTACACCTTCAGCCTGTAAAAGAGCTTGCATTAAATCAGATTTAAACTTTCATGCTCAGGACGGGAGCGATAGCTCAGTAAGTGAGAGACTTGCCGCACAAGCATGAGGACTGAGCCCCTAGAACCTATGTCGAAAGAAAAGCAGGGCATGGTGGGCCTGTAAGCCCTGTGCTGGGGGGGTGAAGTCAGGCAGGCTACTGGGGCTCCCTGGCTAGCCAGACTTTGCAAGCCACAGACCAATGAGAGACCTTGTATCTAAAACGAGACAGCAACTGAGGAATGACAGTCAAGGCTTCCACATACATGTGCATATTATACACATACGGACACACACACAGTACTCCTTCACACTGGCCACATGGCAAATGTATAGATTCCAAGCACGTGACTAGTACTGCATGAGACAGCAAAAGATCAATTCTGTTATAGTAGACACTGCCAGACAGAACCATGCGGATAGTGGTCCCAGCCTCACCTTGGCTACAGGGTGAAGAACACCTTGGCTCTGCCGAGGCTGAGCAAACACAGGTGGGGCTCTGGGAGAGAGGCTGTGGAGTGTTTGCAGAGGGCAATGACGTGGAGAGACACCTGGACAGGCCACCTGGCGCCTCCCCCTTTCCAGACTGGGTGGAACAGGCGTCTGCCGAGCAGGGGAGTTCAGAGAATAGCCATGTAAGCCAGAGCTCGGGGGGGCTTGTGTGTGAGGGAGGTTACAGGAAGAATGAAGGCTCCCCTAAACAGCCCCCACAGGGCAGCTCAATCAATCACCTGAGGCAGAGGCTCAGGAAGACGAGCCCTGAGCGCAGGTCTTCAGGGAAACCAGACTTTCTGTGAACAGGGGTTCACTCCTGCTGGCTCACAGGAGGTGACAAGGGCTGAGTTCTCAGAGAAGATCCTGTGACCACCCAGGCCCATGGAGTCCAACCCAAACCAACCTGCAGACCATGCTCATTGGAACTCTCCCCCCCCCACCCCCAACCTTTAGGTTGCCTGCAGGAGGGAAGGCTGTGAACACAGCCCCAGTGCCTGGCCAGACACCTCACGATGAGTCTGACCGCAGAACGGAGCCCCGTTCCTCTGTCTCGGACCTCGTCAACTCCCTGACCAGCGAGATGCTCATGGTGAGAAGGGTTGGGGATGGGCTGGGAGGGGGGCAGAAGTAGGCAAGAGACTTAGATACTCAGTTCCAGCAGGATGGCTGTCACTGTAGGCTGACCAAATGAGGCCTGGTTTCTTTTCCCATCTCTTCCATGAAAATGCCTTTCTATGCCTCCGTTTCCTCATTTGTCCCCCTTTGATCCTTTTCTGAACTGAGGAAAAGACTAAGAAACCTACGCATACAGGACGATTACATCCTGGGAGGATAGGCTGTCCGGCAGTGATCTGAGGCAGGTGTCCTTTCCCTCCAATGGCATTCCCTTGGGGGTGGGGGGAGACGTAAGACTGCCTTGTAGCCCGCCAGGGACCTCAGTTGCTCTTTGTTGCTGTCAGGCCTATGATCCCAGTCTAGGTTGTTTTCCAAAGCTGGGGCTGCGGTTCTCACGGCACCCCCTGGTGGTAACAATATGTCACAGCTACCTGTACTTTCCAGAGAGCCGCCGGGTTAATCCCTAGAGGGAGGCCCATGGACAGGCACAGCAAGTTAGCAGACAAGAACCAGTTGAGATCTGGTGGACCAGAAGTTCCTCCAAGGCTTGGAGAGGGTTGTGGTGGGAATCCAGCACCCTGTCTTTCTACTGGACATAACAGGGCTCCTTGACTCCCTTCCTGTGAGGAAGGGTTCAAGCTCCCCCCTGCCCACCCAGACCCACAATTTCCTGCCAGTCTGACCTGTTTTCAAGTAGCAATATGCACACAGAGTCACACGGGTCACCTGGGTAAGGATTCTGGCTTCCAGGCATCAGGCCTGAGGTGGAGCCCGAGGCTGCGTTTCCCTTGGCCTGGCTCTTTGTGACTTCCTATCTCTAACTTTGTACAGACTGGTTGTCTTCTGCTCTCTGCAGCCCGTTACCACAGACCACCCTGCCTGCTCTCACAGGCCCCTTAATTGGTGCTGTTTCCTGGTAGTCGGGTTCCCAGAAGGGACAGCCCTTTCCCAGCTGGCTGGCTGGCCCCTTGCTGCCCTCAGGGAGAGGCTGGCAGACTCAAGCAGCGGAAGGAAGTACAAGCCAGTGTCCCTCCCATATACTCCACAGATGCCCGGAGGTGGGAGGGCAATTGCCCAGCCCTCTGCCAGGGCGAGGTCACTGATGTTAACAATGACAGTAAAGATAAGCAGGACAGAATACGTCCTCACCCCGTGGTCTTCTCCAGACCCCAGGCTGCAGAAGCTGAGGACCAGGAGTCAGATACCTAGAGATGGACAGAACCATCCCCACTGGGGAACATGGGACCTGGCACAGGCTAGCTTGATGTCTTTTAAGGGTTACTTCTGGGACAGAGGTTTGGGGCAGGGGAAGGGAAAATTAGGCAGCTTGGTTGCCATGGAAATGACTTGTTCACTAGGGCTCAGGACTGGGCCTTGAGAAATCTAAGCAAGTGGGTACAAAAGCTCTGCCCCTTTCAAAAGTAAAGTCCACCCAGACAGTCCAGGCTCCCGCCAAGAGCGAAGGGAAAATGGTGGCCTAAGATGCCTCTATACGAGAGAGGGAGTTGGTGTTCCAGTAGTCTGGGCTGACTCTGCCTACTTGTGTCGTGTGCCTGGTCACGCTCCTGGGAGCCCTCAGTCTAAGTTCCATGATCCCCAACCTGCAGGTTCAGAAAGTGATGTTCAGGGGAAGGGGAGGGCTGCTGTGGGCCGTGGGAAAAGCGTGGTAGAGGTCTCTGCATGGAAAGCCACATCCTACGTGGGCCTGGGAGAGAGCCTGTGGGCAGCGAGATCAGCTGTGTGTGGGGGTGGGTAACAGGAGCATCAGCAGTGGGCCAGGCATGTAGCTCAGGTGGTAGTGTGCTCGCCTAACATGCACGAAGCACTGTTTGATGGTGCGGCGGCACATGTCCCGGAAGTCAGGTGACAGAAGCTCAAGGCCATCTTTTCAACAGAGAAATAGAGACCAGCCTGGGTTATGTGAACCTCAGGCTCACAGAGACATAAAAAAATTAAAAATATAATTAAAAAAAAAAAGTTTGGTGCAATTCTTCCTCAGCCACTAGGTGGAGCCAGAGGTCAGATTCAAACTATGGTCCAAGTTCAGGCAGGAGCCAGGCCCCCACCATTGCTGGCCACGAACCTGGTTTCAAGTTCTAACCGGCCAGTCAATCAGGGAGCTTTGAGGTGAGTGGCCTAGTGTGCTCCAAGTCAAACTTTGAACATACTAGTGCCTGCCTTAAGATATGGCACAAAGGATGCCAAGTGGGTGACATACAGCAGTAGGGTTGGCAGGTGACTGGCCTCTGTGCAGTATTTGCCATTATCAGTGGGACTTGGACACTTCTCCTTGGTGCAGGAAGGCCTTTGCTCTCGGAGGCTGCAGGGAGGGCCTTCCTATGACTTGGGGCCTGGGCATGCTTGGTAGAAAGAGCGGGGCATGACATCAGAGAGGGAGGGTCCTTACTGCTGTGTGAACTTGGACATGTGACTTGACCTCTTTGAGCCAGAGCCTCCTCAGCAAGAGGTGGGTGACAGCCACCTGGTCCGGCAGTAAGAAGGTGATGTGTCTTCACCATGGTAGGTGCCTCTCTCTGCCTTATGTCACCTGTGATAGTCTGTGTTGAGAAGCTGGGGCTGTCACTCCAGGAAGCCTGAGGGGCCCAGGGATTTTCTGAGGGAGTGTGGGGAGAAGGCAAATGCCTACTGTTTTGTCACATCTGCAATTCCCTGGGGCCCTTTCTTGACTCCCATCTTGGTGAAAGGAGATGTGGACCAGGGAGCAAGCCCTGACTAGGCAGGTAGAGCCTCAAGGCCTCCCATTATTCCTGTGAGCAGTAATCCGACTAAGAGATCCCAACTGCTTTCCTCACCCCTTTCCCAGTTAAGATGAAAATACGGCTCCCAGTCCCTCCTTGTGACTATCTACTACTGCCCATCCTTTATGCTGAGAAGTGGGGACTGGGAACAGGCGTAGCCTGGAGGTACAACCTCGGTGCCCAGGGACCCCCAGCCTCATTCAGTCAGACTCCCTGGGGACAGCCTGGCAAGTGTCTCAGCGTCCCATCATCCTCCTGAACACTATCTTGTAAACTGCATCATCCATGGCCCCCAGAGAGCCTCCTGTGTAAGAGCTGGGATGCCTCCCATGAGTCCAGAGTGCTGAAATAGGAGGGGAGGGAGGCCAGGACACCTCAGGGTGGCTCTTGAAACTGAGCAGACTTATGGCTTCAAGGGGAGGTGGGAAGTTGGGTCTCCTGCTCACAGCTATGGGGTCCAGGAGTCAAACTCATTCTGGCCCTGTTACCCACCCTCTTTATAGTTAAGTCCAGGCTCTCAGAGCCAGAACGTCCTCCACGGGCCATGACTGTGATGGACCACTACTGTATCCAGCCACGTTGTGACCAGAAGAAGTTGGCTTGTCCTGATGTCATGGACCCTGTCCTGCTGCCCAGGAGCCTGGTGGAGACAGACTCCCCACCAACATGCCATATTTCCCCCCTGCAGCTTTCCCCAGGCTCCGAGGAGGATGAGGCCCATGAGGGCTGCAGCCGAGAAAACCTGGGTCGCATCCAGTTCAGCGTTGGCTACAACTTCCAGGAGTCTACACTCACCGTGAAAGTCATGAAGGCCCAGGAGCTGCCGGCCAAGGATTTCAGTGGCACCAGTGACCCCTTTGTCAAGATCTACCTGCTCCCTGACAAGAAGCACAAACTGGAGACCAAGGTGAAGCGGAAGAACCTGAACCCACACTGGAACGAGACCTTCCTCTTTGAAGGTGAGGCTCCCAGCATGCCTCTTGCCCCCCCCCCCCACTAATCCCATCCCACACATGAGGCTACAGGCAAGAAACATGAACCAACCCATGCCTGGTACACGTGTACAAGCACACACAGACAGGTGTACATACATACATACAAGATGCATGCACACACTAATTCCATGCACACACAGGCCCGATTAACCCAATGCATTTTGCTTCTAGCTGAGACTAGTCCCAGGAGGTGAAAAATGTCAATATACAAGCCATAGACTGAGGAAAGAGATTGGTTCAGGCTAGAGTCCCAGCTTGTGGCATTCAGAGGTTTATTGCTCTGGAGCAACCATGTGAAGGGCCTTTATGCATCTAGTGGAAGTGCCAGAACATTCGGGGACTTTCTCCTTCATCCTCATCTTCCTCTCCATCGGCCCCTTGCTCTAGGCTGTCTAAGCTCAAATCTCGGCTTTCTCATTTACTAGCTGTGTGGCATTAAGCAAGATCCCACCCAACCTTTGGTGTCTTCGGCTATAAAAGAGGTAATAATTATAATTAAACAAATTAGTAACTTTTCAAAGCACCTAGAGCAGACCCTGATATCCAGAAGGCGCTGATATGGCTTGTTGAAGATATGGTTTGTTGCTGGCCTTTGATTCCTTCCCACCATGAGAGACGAGCAAGATCTTGGAGCCATTCCCTCTGGCTCCAAGAGGCATTGAGCTGAATGTGCCCCTTGCTCCCAAAACCACTCTTTATCTCTCATGTCTGAGGACACAGGGTGTGTAGTGACAGAACTGTCCACCCATCTGTGATATCAGGAAAGAGAACCTAGATGTAAAAGTTGGGATTTGGCTGGAGTAGGTATGGTGGGGGCTTGTGGGTTAGGTCCTGATGCAAGCAGAGCCAGGATTTCAAGGGATCAGGGGAAAGTCTGTAGGGATGGAGCCTGGGCACAGAGGAAAGAGTGGGTACCAGCTCACAGTGGGAAGTCACTGGGGCCACACTTTGAAAGGACTGGGCACCTTCTGGGTACACTGGAATGCTAAAAGGAGCAGGCTGTGGGATATTGTCTATTTTTAAAAAAATCAATCTGGCCACAGTGTTGAGAATGAACCATGGGAAGAAGCTTGGGAGCAGGAAGGGCAGTTTGGACGTTCTTGTGGCTGCTGGGAAGAGTTACTGGTAGTTTGAGTACCCAATATGGGATCTGTTTAGGGGGAGGAACAGATAGGTAGGCTTATGCCTAGGGAGGAAGTGAAGAAGAAAGCAGAGTCCCTGCAGCTGGTCTGTTCTCATGGGTACCTTTCTAGTTTCCCTGTCCCCAGTCTTCCTAGGTCAGGCAGAGCCACTTGCCCAGACTTGATCCAGAGAGCAAGGGGGCCACTGCCCAGACCAGCAATGGACATACAAGCAGTGAGCACATTAATGGCCATGGTCTTATTGATGCTCCTGGGACTGTCACGTAAACCATCTCAGCCTGTTCCCCCATCTGTTGGGTCACACGAGACAAAGTTTTTCTGGCACTTGAGAAAGTGCTACTGCAGTAAACTGCGGCCCCTTGGCCTAGGCCCTGACAGAGGACACAAGGCCTGCCTTCCTTCTCCCTCCCATTGCTCCCTTCCTTCCTTCCTCCCTCTCCCCACCCCTCCCTTCCCTCTATCCTAATTTCTTTTCTGGTTGCTGTAATAACCCTCCTCACCTTGCTTGTCTGCCCCTACCCAGGTTTTCCCTATGAGAAAGTGGTGCAGAGGGTCCTCTACCTCCAGGTCCTGGACTATGACCGTTTCAGCCGCAATGACCCCATTGGGGAGGTGTCCATCCCTCTCAACAAGGTGGACCTGACCCAGATGCAGACCTTCTGGAAGGATCTGAAGCCATGCAGCGATGGGAGTGTAAGCCCCCCTTCGTTCCTCTAACTGGAGCGGTGTGGTCAGGGCTGGCAGAGGATGCCGGTAGGACTCAGAGCGGAGAACTGATGGCAGCCCCCGGAGAACTTGCTCCAGAAGCTGGGGCAAATTATCTGAGCTGTGCAGTGAGCCTAGGGCTCTGCTCATGGAACTGGGAGCCCTGGGTAAGCACAGACCTGCTAGAGGAGAGAAGATAGCATAGCAGTGACAGGCAGAGGGACTGGCACTACCTAGGGCAGGGCAGAGGGACCTGCAGTTCTCCGACCACACCTTCCCTTCTAGTTCCTACACCTATCATCCCTGCAGGGAGATCAAAGGGAGCATCCCCCTCCCTGTGAACCAGCCTCACCCGTTCTCTTGCCCTACAGGGGAGCCGAGGGGAGCTGCTCTTGTCTCTCTGCTACAACCCCTCTGCCAACTCCATCATCGTGAACATCATCAAAGCTCGTAACCTCAAAGCCATGGACATCGGGGGCACATCAGGTGCTGAGCCTCATCACGACAGGGTGGGCAGGGGATGCGGAGGGCTTCCTGGCACATGAGGGTCACTTTGGATATGAAGGATATAAGTGTTTGGGGGCCCCAACCCTGGCCTCGACCAGTCCCAGCTCCTCTGACTAGACCTGTGAGAACTCTTTGGACACACTCGGGATCGGTTGTCATCTTGGCAACCAGGCATCCCTGAATCAGGAAGAAAGGCAACATTGTGGTGGGGAGACCCCATTCTATCTCCAAGTACCACTTGCATGTGACCTTGGACAGACTCGGTGGAGTGTTAGCATAAGAACATTAGGGCAGTGTCCAGGGTCCTTTTACCTGCTGATTATCCCTAATCTCTCTCGTTCTTGCACTGGTCTGGCCTTGTCACCCTCTTAGAAAGCATGTAGCCAGCTCCCGCTTAAGTTTCTGCACCTAGAAAGGCATGGAAATCCTCGAGTCCTCCTGACACCACACTCTGCCCCTCTGACCTTTCCTTTACCGCCCCCCAGACCCTTACGTGAAGGTGTGGCTGATGTATAAAGACAAGCGGGTAGAGAAAAAGAAGACAGTAACAAAGAAGAGGAATCTGAACCCCATCTTCAATGAGTCTTTCGCCTTCGACATTCCCACGGAGAAGCTGAGGGAGACCACCATCATTATCACTGTCATGGATAAAGACAAACTCAGCCGCAATGATGTCATTGGCAAGGTAGGACTGGATGGGATGCATAGCCAGGTGCACGAGGGTTTGTCCTTAAAAGGCAGCAGGGGCCAAGGATAAGCAGAGGCCTGGATACCAGGAAAGAGCCAGTCAGACAGGGAAAGAAGGAATGGGAAAATGCCTTGAGTTCCCCAAAGGTTTTCTGGGTGGGCTCTCAGACTGGTTCAACCTTGCTCATGGGACGAGCTGGGTGGGGCTGTGGCAGAGCCCTAGCCAGAAACCAAAGACCTGACTTCAGCTCCTAGTAGGTTTGCACTCCAGTGTGGCCTGGAGTAAGTCCCTTGTCCTCTCTGAGCTTCTATGTGCTTGTCTGAAAAATGCAGCAATGCCAGCTCTCCAGAGCTCCCCAAAGGCAGGTAAGAGTTACCTGAGATAGATAGGGACTCTGGATGAAGGTGGCTTTTTTTCCTCCCAAGACAAAGTTTCTCTGTGTAACCCTGGATCTCACTCTGTAGACCAGGCTGGCCTCAAACTCACAGAGATCCGCCTGCCTCTGCCTCCCGAGTGCTGAGATTAAAGGTGTGCACCACCACCGCCCAGCAAAAGTGACCTCTAATTGCATGTTGAGCAAGAAGCCAGACCCAGAGCTGATTTGAATTTTTCGGCAACACAGTTCTGCAACATAATCCCTCCAGTTTTCCACTTTGAAAGCATGTTTCTGTGTTTATGATTCAGTGTTGGGAGTGTGGGCACAAAAGTCTGCCTGGTTCTGGTTTTGTTGCTGTTCATTTGTTTGTTTTGTGGCCTTTGGAATGGAATCCAGTTATACAGTGCCCCTGATCTATACCTATGGCCCTGAAACTCCCCCTTAGCAGCTGTCACCTCTTTGAGCCTCATTTTCTCTGCTCAACATGAGAGCAGGGAAGTCCTAGCTACACGGTTTAGTGGGAGCATTTGATAAGGGTGTAGCGAGATGCTCAGCCTTGCACTTGGAGCACATGTATAGCTTCAGTTGTAATAGAAGTTAGCTTGGAAATGTCCCTACCCATGGTACATGTGGTCACCTATTCAGTAACAAAGGTTTACTTTCCTATGTTTTGTTTTGGTCATTTGTTTTGTTTTGAGACAGTTTCCCAATATATCCCTGGCAGATATGGAACTCACTGTGTAGACCAGGCTGGTCTTGAACTCAAGGACTTCACCTGTCTCTGCCTCCCTAGTGCGGGGATTAAAGCCTTGTGCCACCATGCTCAGGCTGGCCTCAGACTCATTATATTGCTGAGTTTCTGACCCTGCTTCTTCTACCTCCCAAACACTGGGATTATAGGCAAGTGCCGCGGTACCTGCTCTGTGCAGTGCAGAGGATTGAATCCGGGGCTTCGTGTGTGCTGGGCAAGAGCTCTACTGACTGAGCCCTGGCCAAGTCTCAGAAGTTTGCCCAGGAATAGTGTGGGGAACCAGTGGTCAGAGAAGAGGGAAGGAGGGAGTGGAAAACACAGGTCCCTGGGGATATGACTGTCTTGGCTACCTCTCCATGGCTGTGAAAAAGCACCATGACCAAGGGAACTTATGGTTAATGAAATATAAAATAATAACTTAGGCATTTAATAGTTTCAGAGGCTGAATCCATGACCATCATGGCAGGGAGCATGGCAGCAGACAGGGATGGCACCAGTGCAGGAGCTGAGAGCTCACATCTGACCCATAAGGCAGAGAGAGCTAACTGGGAATGGAATGGACTTCTGAGCCCACCCCAGTGACACACCTCCTCCAGCAAGGCCACACCTCCTAGTCCTCCCCAAACAGTTCTACCAACTAAGGACCAAACATTAAATAAAATGAGCCTATGGGGGCTATTCTCATTCAAACCCCACAATGGCCATGTTTGGAGAAGATTGGCCTGGCTTCTGCAGGGAGTGGGCCAATCTGGAGACATCCCACAGACGATGGAAGGGAGGACCCAGCTGTTGGGAAGAGGAAAGCATCTAGCCTTGGTAGGAAGAAAGCTGGCCCTGGGAGTATCACTCTGTTGACCTGTGGGTACATGTACCACAGCTAGAGTGTATGCTTAGTGCAGAGCCCGCTGAGTCTTCAGAGGCCTCTCTAGCCCCTAACATAGCCCAGTCTCGTAGAATTCAGTATTCCTTGGGGATTACTTTTAACTTAGCTCCTTTAATAGACCTACCTTTGGTGGGCCACACCAAGTCAAAAGTGGTTTTGTTCTTGCTTTGGCCTGGGCTGGTTTGGAAAGCCAAGGAAGGACGTTCTGAGTCACAGCCTCAGCTCAGCTCCTAGAGGCTGGGGTTCTGCCCTTGCTCCAGGCTCCGGTGTCATGCTAGGCTGAAGTTGCAAATGCAAGCAGGGGCCCAGGAGCTCTTGTCTGTGGCCTTGTGGTGGTGGTGGTGGTGAGGGGGTAGTGAAGAGGAGTCGTCTCTCTGAAGAGTAAGCCTCAGAGACGGGACTGACTGAGAACTCAGTCACATGAGGGCAGATGCATGCCATCTCCAGTGTCTATAAGGCAGGCCCTACTATCAACAAACTATACAGAGGGGCCTGAGGCTGGCAGGATATTCTGCCCCGTGCATTTTTGTTTAAGTGGTTTTATTGTTTGTTTTTGACAGGGACTTACTTTGTAGCCCAGGCTGGCCTCAAACTCACTAAGTACCTCCAGGCTAGCCTCATACTCATAGTAATCCTCCTGCCTCAGTGTGAGGTTTTTAGGTATGAGACACTAAACCTGGTGAATAATTTTAAGTTGACAGAAAAGTAACAAAGACAACATGGAGTACCCATATCCCTTTCGCCCAGTGTCCTCAATTGTCAGCCCCTCACACTGCATCCGTCACAGCTTGAGCTGATGTGGGACCTCTCTGTGACCCCTCCAGACTTCCTTTGCCTTTGGCCAGTTCTTCCACTAATGCCCCATCTCTGAGGATCCAGTACTAGCTAGCACATTGTACTCCATTGTCCAGGCCCCCTGCCCAGGTTCTTTGACCTGTGACAGTTTCTCACCTTCTAAGGTGTCATCTTGATGGCCTTTAGGGACCCTGGCAGAGATCCTGCAGCACTATCGACCTTTCCCGTCAGTGTCCAGGCCTGGCTCAGCTGAACACACTTGTGTGTGTGTGGGGGGGGGGGGGGTGGTTCTGGGTTAGCCATGCAATGTATGGAGTCCTGACATTAGCCTGAGCAGGATTGGTCGTCCAGATCCCTGAAGACCTGCCTTACGCTATTTTGAACATTTAAACTCCAGCTGAAGAAGTTAAGACTCTTAACTCTGTACCTTAGTTTCCCCATCTGAAAACTTGGGCTAATCACATGGTCTCTCACACGTCAGGTTTGTAAAGATACATCAACCTCTGGATGTCAAGTCCCTAGGACAAAGCCTTGGGGTGGGTGGCAGCAGGAAATACCAGGAGATGGGAGAGAGAAACAACGTGCCCCCTCCTAGGGCAGGGAAGGTCACCCAAGTCAACTGCCTGTGTCCTGACCTTCACCGCAAAACAGGTTGCAATCTGATGTCAAAGGGCCAGGCATGCTCAGGCCCCTGAGGGGTAGCGCAGGCAGGAAACTAGGTCAGGCTGGCAAGGAGAGAAAGGGGCAGCCTCTGCGGGACAGGCTGTTACTGTGGGACAGGGCCCAAGCCTCAGAGCCTGCCATAATGGATCCTCTCTTCCTCCCCAGATCTACCTGTCATGGAAAAGCGGCCCAGGTGAAGTCAAGCACTGGAAGGACATGATCGCTCGCCCCCGGCAGCCTGTGGCACAGTGGCACCAGCTGAAAGCCTGAGTGGGGCTGAAGGAGCCCCAAGGGCCAAGGCCTGGGTTCCCATCATGCCCCCGCCTCTTTATGCACAATGCCCAGCCTGGACCCCTGCCATGGGTGAGGGGAGAACCCTGAAGGCTCAGCCAGGGAGGGGTACCGGAACTCTACTGGGCCCCATTTCTAGGAAGTACCAGCCCCACCTCCACAAGTCCAGCTTGGGGGTGGGAGCTCTGGGAGCCATTTCCCTGCTTTGCCTCTTTCTTTCCTGATTTGCTGATACTAAAGAAGTGGGGGAAAGCTCAAGAGCCAGAGAGGCCCTCCCTCCAGAGGCCGCCAGGTGGGCGCAGCCCTCCGTTTTCTTTAAGGCAGTGCCTGGAGTGGAGAGAAGCCACCCCTTCCCTAGTCCCCCTTTTTGGGGCCCAAGAGAGGAAGGCCGAGGCGTTTGGCCATGGCCTGGTCTTCAGGCCCATCCCCAGCTTCAGGTGCCGGCTGGGCCCTGGATGCTGAGGATAGTATATAGCCTGTGCTCTGGGGTCCTGGAGACATGGCCCTGTGTATTTGTGTTGTGTCTACTGTGTGCGTGCGTGCGTGCGTGCGTGTGTGTGTGTGTGTGTGTGCACGCCCACACAGTGCACACATGTGCACGTGTAAGCTCGTGCACACACGTGTGAAGGGGGTGCTCACTCCCTGTCCCCCGGGACCAGCAGTGCTGACTAGCTATGGAGAGTAGCGGAGTTCTGTGACGAGAGGATGAGGTAGGGCTGGGTCAGGTAGAGGTTAATGCCGCAAGGGCGCTAGAAGAGGAAGGGTATGGAAAGCTGAGTAGGAGCCGTCAGGACCACTTTGCCTGTCTCTGTAGCCCCCACCCCCATAATTCCCCAGTAGCAACTCCCCTGTAATGTCACTCCTTGGGTCTGGGCTCTTGCTTTGTAAGCACCTACTCATCCTGTGCATGGCATTCCACCAGGGCACCACTCCCACCCTTATCAGGCATCCCTAACCCCTTACCCAGGGGCAGCCCACCTTCCCAGCCAAGTGGGCATCTGCCCCACACTCTCTGGCTTGGCTACAGTCCCTCAGCCCCACTCCTTACCCCAATACTGCCAATTCCTTTCATTGTCTGATCTACCCCTAACCTCCGGGCTGACTTGACACATTCCCTCACCCTCCCTTATTCCCCACCGCCACCCCCAGAGCAGTAGCTCTTTCTGCCCTGCCCCCACCTTGCAAACAGAGGAAGCCGGGAACATTCCAGGAGTCTGAGGTTGCCATACCCAAAGAAGCCGCCGTCTCTCCTTGCATCCTCTGCTGAGGAAAACTGGCTTCCCCTTAGAAACAGCAGACTCCAGGATGTTCCCTCTTAAGTCCCACCATCCCTCTACGCTGTTTTAGAGAAGACCCACTGTGACAGAGCCTCAAAACCTGTTCAGAGACTGGAACCGGACATACCCAGAACCTACCACCAGGTGGCACCAGACCACCACATCTGTGGTAACAGTTGGGGACCACAGTTCTACCCTGGCTGGCAAACCTGCCACCCCAGGAACAGAAGAGGCTCTGTCCTGGATCTACACACCTAGAGCACAGTGGAAGCATAGATATTTGGGCACATTTTCCTTTAGTGGGGTTCCCCTTACGCTCAGCTTCCTGCTCTTGGCAGTGAGGTCTCCTTTTTATCCATAGCAAAGTATTCTTAAATTGAATTTCACACCCCGTCCCCTGGTACCTGGAGGAATCTCTTATGTTTTAAGTGAATCATTTGTAGGCTTAGGCTGGAGAATTCTATTGTGAAACAAATAGCTCCCCATTTTGCTTGTAAATCTAAATGTTTCTATACTGCGACTTTTGCTTTAAGTGGGATCTGCCCCAGCAGCCTTGCCCAGCTGGGACCCCAAAAAGGGACCCCAGAGGCTGTGTGGAAATAGGAGAGGGTACTTTCAAGAGTCTGGAAGTGAGAGAGAAATTGCTGCTATCCTTTACTCCACCTGCCTCAGTTCCCTGAGCATTCCCACAGGACCATCTGAGGGGCCCAATCAACTTCCCGCCAACGAGAGTAAGAATGGCAGGGTTTATGGGAGACACGCTCTTGCATTTCTTAGCCAATCAGCTCAGAGAGCATCACCTACAGAGCTGGTTCCCCTGAGACCTAGGGATGCTGGTGACCCAACCTGGAATTCCTCAGCCCCCACATGTAGCTGGAGTGAGGGATACCGGCAAGAGGTCCCCAAAAGGTGCACTCAGCAGAGTGGGTTTGCACAAGAGGCAGTGGCCGAGAAGGAGTCTGGGTATGGGACAGTTAGGGCAATTGGGGAGCCGGGGAAGGGGGGAACCTGAGGGTGGGGAGGGCACCAGAGCTCTGCTACCACCCTCCTAGGGTCTTGGGCAAGTCACCCACACTCCCTGGGCCTCAGTTTCTCCATCTGTAAAATGATGGTAATAATACTTCACCTACCTCATGGGGGAGGTTGTGAGGCCACTATCACCTGACCCGGGGGATCGAGGCAGGAAGGCTCTGAAGGTGCTACCCAGAGCCAAGTTGTCCCTGACACCTGAAAGCAAGGCCCACCTGCCCATCCACCCTACCCCACAGAGCCTCGAGGGACCACCAGAGCCAATCTGTCTCTTCACTGTGTCCCAAGCCCCTTTATGAGTGTCACCTGACATCTTGTGGGCACCCTAGACTTAGCTGTTATGTCGTTTAGGTATCTTTTCTTGTGACCATCTTCTCCATGTAACTGCTATACAAATTCCACCTGCCCCAGCACACCCCTCCACCTGCCCTCCAGCACCAGAGGCCAGGGAAGGGACAAAGGAAAACAGCCACAAAAAAATAAAAATTAAAAAAAAAATTTAAAAAGCCAAGGGGATTCCCAGCTCAGCTGGGCCCCCGGGGTGGGAACAGGTGGCAACTGTTTGTATTGTGTTTGAGTCCTTGAGCGCAAGTGTTTTATAAAAAATAAAACAAAAATCCACTATCACAAAAAAAAGAAAAATTACAGCAAAGAGAATTGAAGAAAAAAAAAGGGAAAAAGAACCATACAAAATTTTCCACCATATGCACCCTCTAAGCCAGCAAAATCTTCCTCTTTGCAAATCATATTTTTGTGGGAATGGGCCCTGCTTTTTGTGGCAAGGCCTGTTCTGATAAATAAAGAATCGTGAAAAAGTAGGGCCTTGGCTATTTCCTCTGTGGGTTCCAGCCCTCTCTTCCCCCAAGGGAAGCAGAAGCTGGGAGTGGGGAGAATGGGGAGCCTGGGGGTATCTCCATTCAGTTTGTCACCTCTGGGACTTGATTTTTCATTAATGGCTTGGGCCTGCCTGAGCTTCCAGCCCACCCTCAGATCTAGACTGTCATCTCCACACTCACCAGGGAGCATTGCATGTCCTAGGTGAGGCCTAAGTCATGCTTAGATGTAGTCAGCTCTCCTATAGATCTACAGGGCCTCTTTTGGAGCTCACCTAGCTGGGCACACACTCCCTCTCTTCCCAGAGGACCCTTAATACCATCCCAGGTAGGCAGAAAAAGCAATGGTGGGACCCCAACTACCACCTCACCGTCACCTGCTCAGCTGCTATGACTTGGGGACAATGTCTCCTTCCAGGTCGGGGGGCAGGGGTGGAAACATAGGCTGAGATCTAGGTTGGCCTGCTGCACCTGTGGCCTTTCTCTGACTTGTTGTCTAGGCTGATTCTCTATGGTTGGAAGAAAACCTCTCCAATCTAAAGAGCCCTATTGGCAAGTTCCAAGCTGAGGGCCTGTGAGATTGGACTCCAGTGCCCTTTTGTCTGTGGTTCTGGCAAGCCATGTCTTTTGCTGGGCCCTCGGTGTCCGCTATTCACAAAGAAGCAATAATTTCCTAGCCACTCCCTGCTTGGTCCAGGGCAGCTGGCCTGCCAGTTCTCAGGGTACTGCAGAAGGAAAACTATATCTGCTTCAGATAGACACTAAGGGGAGCCCATATCTCCATGGGCCCTGCCCCACTCTGGAGTGAAAAGGGGCACAGACCCTTTGTTCTCCCATATCTGGGTCCAGCAGCTGCCTCCTCTGTCTGTACTAAGTACCCCCATTCTGAAGCTTTCCCACCCTTGCCTTTCTGGCCTGTCAACTTCCTACACTATGGTTCAAACATCCCTTTTAAAAGGTGTGTGCTGCTGGGACGTGGCTCAGGTACAGCGCTTGCCTGATGTGCAAAGGCATACGAAAGGGGATAAAAAGCAGACGTTTTTGGCTTCTATTCCAGAGGTTGAAGGGAGTCCTGGGGTCAGGTAAGTAGCTTCAGGGGCACCCTAAACCAGCCTGGGTTTGGGTTAGCTTTTCTTTGGGAAAGTAAATCCAGGAAACAACTTTAGCAGAGGCAGTTCAGCAAGCAGAGGTGTCAGACCCTAGCCGCCGGCACAGGGCCTCTGAACTTCTCCGGCTCGCCTGCTCTGCCTGCTCTGAGCTACCCATTCATCCCTTCATGTGCCTGAGACCACTTTTCTCCTGCAAGTCCCCCCCAAATACACTGCTTCCAAAGGTCTCACTGGCCTCTCTGAATTCTGGGCTCTCCTCTCCCTCTCTGAGAAAGACAGCCCAAAGGACAATCTGAACATGCTTGACGCCCTATCCTGAGCCACCGCCATCTGTTTCTTGTGAAGTCATCCACTCCCCGTGTCTGAGTCCTGTGTATGTGTCTGTATGTGCACATGTGTGCGAGTGTGGTGTCTCTTAGATTGTGAGCCCTTGGGCAGCGTTCCCTGTCTGAATACACGTCCTGTGAGGCACGTCTGGCTGTGGTAATAAATGTCCATCTTCAGAGTCACAGTGCCCCGATGTCTTGAGGAAGCTTTGGGAAAGATGTCAAAGAAAGCCAGTGTGGCTGCATGGAAGGAGGGGAAGGGCTTTCGGGGAGGGTCTCCAGTTCCCAGTCATCCCATTTCCCCCTTTTACCAATCTCTTGCAGGAACAGTAACAAAGCTAGGAAAGAACTCTGCTAAGATCCCAGTATCTGCTACCCTGTCTGCCAGTAAAGAGGTCAGCTGGTCCGCAGGCTTGGGAACCAGTCTGGAGACTTGAGGGTCAGAGGGGAGGAGACAGGCTATAATTCTCCTCCATCTCGCTTGCCAACTTGCCTGCCAGCCAAGGATGGGGTGCTCTCTCATAGCCTTAACTGAGCACTGGGTAGCGGAGTCCACAAATAGGCCAATGGGCGGGTCACAAACTCCTCAGCTTGTTTCTTGCCCTGCGCCTCCTCTACCCTACTCATGTTCCCTTGGCCTCTCCTCCTGCACTCTTGGCCTCTGTCCCAACCTGACACACACCCAACTCCTTAGAGCCTCCATGTCCCCTCCCGATGTGTCCCACCTTTAACTGCCCTGAGACTGTGGGGACCACAGATGAGGCTGTAAATGTCACACATCTCTTCCTTCTTCCCAGGGGCCAAGTAAGGGTGGCAATGATGTTGGTACCCCTCACACAGTGCTTTCTCCACCACCAAGGGAAGTAGTATCCGGGGAACTGGCAACAGACCTTCCTTCCCCAAGTGCCCTCATTTCCTCAGAGAGCTTCCTAACAGTGCTGGCAGACATCCGCAGGAACTCTAACCAAACTTTCCAGAAGACACGGAATGTGCTTCCATCAGCTTCCGTAGCTCCCACTTGGTCGGTAAACAGCTATAGATAAGGATGCCAAGCTGGACAAAGGAAAAAATGGGGCGGGAGAGGGATCTGAACGCCTCAGGATGGCCCAGGGGAGTCCATTGTAGGGTACTCTCCAGACCATCTGGCCTCAGGTGAGCCAGGGAAGGGGAGCAGAAACATCAGAAAGGAAGGAAACCTTGACCTGGAGTTCCACACAAAGGGATGGTGAATAAACGACGTGAAGAGTCTTAGGTTGGAGAATTGGACAGATGGAGAAACTGAGGCTCGGGGGACTAAGATCAAGACTTAATCAGGATCACTCAACCAACAGCTGAACTAGGAGGGGGCCAGACCTGGTCCACAGGGGTTTCCCTGTACCGGACAAGTTCTGGGTCAGGGGGTCAGGGGGTCAGTCCCTGGTGGGCTGGAGTGCTTGCCAAACCCATCTGTTAACCTCACCTCCCAAATCCTTACTGCTAAGTCACCAGACCCCAAGAAGGCCCAGGGCCCTGATAGCATCTCAACAAAGACAAAGCCTACAGTTGGGTCCCGCACTCTTACCCTTTGTAAAAGCAGCAGCTCCCAAACTCCCCGCCTTCTCCCCCTTTCTATCCACAGTCTTATCTCACTCCAGATCCACGCCCAGCCTCCTCCTTACCCAGAGCCCAGCTACTGGACTGAGCCTGACCGTTTGGCCTCATATGACATCAGCCCTCATTGCCATGGTGATAGAGGCCAAAACTGAGGGAACTTAGGCTGAGAAAGGCAAAGGAGAACGGAGCAAGCACAGTCACAGAGCGAGTGGGAGGGGCCGGTACTGGTGCGATTCCAGCTGGTGGGAGAACCAGAACCAGAACCTGAGAACTAAGCTGCAGATGACCCCCACGGCACAACCTAGGGTAGGGTTGTGAGCCAGAATGGGGAAGGCGACACCCAAAGATGCCAGGAGACCAGCTTCAGGGAGCCAACACCATTTCTTTCTGCAGCCCGCACTTGTTCCCCAGTCAGGAAGGACACAACAGTTGGCCAGGGTCATTCTGACACAGAGTCGGGGCACAAGGGTGGGGGAGGTGCACCCACAGCAGTGGAACTTGGTGCTCCCAGACTTATAAATAAATAGACATGTGGGAAACGCACATTCTTTCTCCAAGAAATATAATTTATGTTTGCAATCAGGTTTTTTTTTTTCTTCCTAAAGAAAACACTACCTTCTGGGGCTCCAACCCCTGACAGTGTCCCTGAGTGTCCTCTGGCCCCTTCCTCCTGTTATTGCTTGGATCTGACCCTGGGAATTGCAAAGCCTGTCTCCTCACCCCCTCGGAGGCTGTCCCTGGTGACGGAGTAGAGGCACATAGTGCCCGTCCAGTGCCCCATGCCGTGCCAGCCACCCTGGCTGTGCCCATGTAAGGAAATGGAGAGTGGGAGCAGTAGCGAGGCCCAAGCAGCCTCCTAGAGAGCAGAGCCCTCTCTTCGGGGCAGGAGCCCTAGAGGCACAGTGGCTTCTTTTCAAACTTGACATCTGAGGGCACAGATTGTAAGAGAGAGAAGATCTCTTTGCCCAGCAATCTCTCAGCACATGATCGGCGAAGAGATCAGAAGCAAAGGTGGAGTGGAGACCCTGTCTTCTGTGCTCCGTACAGATATCGGGGACCTGGTGGAGAGCCGAGGGAAGCTAAGGTGTGTCCTGCTTCTGTCCTGGACAGTCCCTATGCCCTACCTGTGGCCAGAACCTCCCCCCTTCCACACACACACACACACACACACACACACACAGAGGGCAAGTTTTGCCTCCATACAATTCACCACAGAGGTAATGACTCCAGCAACAGCTAGAGTAGGCCTAGGCGATCCGAACCCCAGATGAAAGTGATAGGCACCCTGGGCATCCAGTGTCAGAGTGGGGATGACTCTGTGGATAGTGGTGACCTGGTTCCAGGTGAGAACCCGCTCATCTGTTGTACCATCAGTGACTCTATCCCAGACTTCTTGGTCTGAAAATTGCCCAGAGGTCCGCCCGGGGAGTCTTTCTTACTACCCAGAAGTCTCTGAAGATAGCCTAAGGCCTTTGCCAGGTAGCTCACTCAGTGCCACTCCTTCACTGCCCCAAGAGGCCCAGCGGCACCCTATATCCAGACAGCCACGGCTTCCTAGAGCCCCTCCTGCCAGAGTGGCCAAGCCCATCACTCAAGGCAGAGGTTCAAGTGCCCAATCCTGGAGGGGCTTCCAAGGCTTGGAGATTGTCCCTGGCGGGCCCCAGGGCCCTGGGTCCTGCGCCTCCTATGAGCAGGTCTTCTTCCTCCTCATCCTCAAAGGCCCGGACTGGCCGCCGGGATGGCGGCCGAGGAATGGGCTCGTCTCGCTCAGCCATGCGCTCGACGGCGCCCTCGCCAACTAAGAAGACGGTGTCTGCCACACGCGGGGGTCCAGTGACCGGGTTGTGGTCGTAGGAGAAAACTCGCAGTGCGCGCAGCGGGTGCAGGTCTGGGAAGCCTCCCAGGCGGTTGCGGTCGAGGTCCAGGATGTGCAGCCGGCCCATGCGCAGCAGCGCGG